ACAACAATGATTACAACAACTTCGCATGGCGCTAAAAACAATTTCATCTCAAAGCATTTGAGCCAAATGAACAATGAAAGTGAGAAGCGTAAAGAATCTGATTGCAAATCCGATAAATCAGAAGCACCTCGTAAACAGATGAAAGTATCTCAAGTCAATGATAAAATAAATTCACAATTGTCAGTAACTTCATCTAACCAGAACGATTCATCAAAATCACCATCAGGTAAACATGAAAACAATATTTTTAGTTTAAAATGAATGACAAGAAATGAACAAAACTTATCGTTCTTCTTTCTCTTCTTTTCTCTCTTTTTTTGTTTCCTTTTTTTCTTCTTTCTTTTCCTCTTATTCTCGCCTTATCTTCATCCTCTTTGCTCCCTTTCATCCTTTCATCCTTCCTGCTCTTTCTCTTTATCTTTCTCTCTCCACAACTCAACTTAAATAGCACCGACAAGCCCAAAATCATCTACCACTCAAATCAATACTATTGATAAAGCAGCTTCTAATAATGTCGTGAACAAAATAACACGAGATGTCAATGAAAATTGTAAGACTTCACATTCAGTTGGAACTTCAATTTCACCCAATAATTCACAAACCTCTGTGAACGCATCTAAAACTCCATCTTCCGTTATAACAAATACAGTATCAGGTAAATTAACATGAAGCTTTTTTTGAATACTTTCATTCAACCTCAAATAAAATTCTAAATAATTTTACTTTTTCCTTTACTCATTATCTTTTCATTGATTAGCTGGAAATTCAAATGTTACAAATTCACAGTCTAATAACAAGAATAACCAATCAACTAATAGTGAAGTTAAGAGCAATGGTCTTGAGGTTGATGATAAAGTAGTAAAGTCATCAAATGCAAATAAGTACCTTCAGTTAGTTCATCACAACCATCAACAGTTACTTCAAAATCACTTTCATCTTCTTCTTCATCTTCATCACCACATTTAGTTATAGCACCTTCACCATCACCGTCTACTTCATCATCATCACCTTCACCTAAATTATCATCGACTTCAACTTCTGTAAGTTCATCAAAACCATCAACATCGACTTCATCCTCATCTTCATGTACATCAACATCAACTCCAACTTCAACAAAGGTTGTATCTTCATCCTTTTATCCCACAACTACCTCAACATCAACATCGACATCAATAAGTCGTTTAATAAATAATCAACAGCAAAAGTTAAAACAATCAGGTCAAGGCGATAAACGTCAACGAGAATCACCAAGTTCATCATCACCTGGTAATGCACCTGACAATAGACCATCAAAGATGGTAAAAATATCAAAGAATCAAACATTGAATAGTCAGCATAAAAACTTACAGATTCAACACCAACAGCAGCAGCAGCAGCACCAACAACTACAACAACAATATAAGTTACAAATGATTAGTAATCATGATCAATTAACTAATGATAGCGTGTTTAATGTAAAGGCTTTGATTGCCGATGAAAAGGAAGCTGCACTAAACAAAAACTCACCACAAACTGGATTCACTTTAAAATCAATGCCTGTTGACCTTCGTAATCCTCGAAATATCAACAAATCTGGAGGACTTCATGCAATCCCTTCAGGTCCATTCCAACACTTTCATCACTTTGCTAATCCATCTTCAGTTCTAGTTCCAATTGCTACTGGAAGCTCAGGACATTCACCTGGACCTTATCATGAGTCGTCTTTTCCTCACCTGAAGTATTTAGAGTATACAAAGCTTATGGGCGAAGCTTTGATGCAACATTTTCATCAAGCAAATAATGCTTCATTTGGTGTTACACTGAACCTTAACGGTAATGTTAATGGCAATGTTAATGGTAAATCAATGAACAATATTCAAGGTGAACTGGTCAAAGGCTTTTACAAGGAAACATTGACTAACAGTCCAAATCGTGAAAACGATACAAAAAATGATAAATAATCAACTATTGTATTTATTAATATTATTGTATTTAAAAGCATGTTTAAAAGCCTTATTTAACAAAATAAATTATTAATCGTTTAATCATGAACAGTTTCCATTTCATTTCCTTTGCCATCATTAAATCATTTGTGTTTCAATCCATAAATATTCAGAATAATTCCGACTCGATATCAATTGAATGAGATAAAATGTTGTGAAGTTGAGTCAATTGTGTAGATAAAAATATTGATAATTCAATTGTTGGAACCTCGATTGAACACAAACTGATTCAACATTCCTGAATAGATGTGAATTGATAAATGTCATGATATTGTCACATTTAAAGGTGTGACAAGCAGATGAGATCTAAATGTGGTTAAATATAAAAGGGTAAAGTTATCGTTGAAAAGAAGCCAATTACAGGTGAAAAAATGAGTAAATATCAAGGCCTTATTCAACCATCATTAGTGTGAAATGAAGGTAACAATAAATTCCTTAAACGGTGGAAACCTAATGAACACAACCAACTGTTTTGATAATTGATGACTTGGCAAACGTTTTATTTAATTATCTCATCATTATCCTTCCATCATGAACTTTGCTCGCTTTGACTCCATAAATCTGACTTTATATTGAACATGACACGTGTTTCATTTCCCTGTTTGATTAGTTTATCTGTGTCAGAACACTTTCCATTGAGATTGTGTTCAATAATTGATCATAATATTCACCAATTGAAGTCACCTTTGGCTTTTATTGAATCTATAAATTGAATCGATCGATAATAGAGTTGGCCGATTCTCGATTAATCAAGTAATCGATATTTGTGATTAACCCAAGGGAATCGATTAGAATCGATGTTTAATCAAAATAGGAAAACATTAAATCTTAAGCATTCAAGCAACTTCCAAGGTTGAGGCTCTTTACATCAGTAAAGTATGAATTAGGATTTTGCATGGCACTGAAATCACTGTCACAGATAAAGTTTCTGAGTTGCTAAAATTATGCCAATTTCCCTTTTATTTTTTTCTGCAAACATGGAACCGTAAAATTTGTGAGTTTTTAGCTCATGTCAAGCTTATCGATCCTCGAAAAAAATAATCGATTTTCTGAAAAACAATCGACCCGCATCGATAGATTGAGGTAATTGCCCATCTCTAATTGATAAATCGCAAGATAAAGTTGAAAAATTGTTTTGGCTTTTGAACACGAAAATTGATTGAGATCCTGAGTTTAATTGTTGAGTTATATTGTCAATGAAAGACCATCAATGATCTGTCCATGTAAAGACTGAAACATGATGTTCACATTGGAAGTGTTTAAAGTCAATGAAACTTTATAAGCTATAGTTGCATCTAAAGGTCACTGGCGATTGAAGGCCTTTGATTGGCTCTATAAATGACCTTCAATAAGCTTGACTCTTTAAAGCAATAATTTTTAGTCTTGTTAGTTGTTAGTCAAGTGTCAATCCATTAATCATTTGGTTTTTCATTAACATAATCATCTTTTACATCATTAAATCCAAAACTCAACCTTTCAACATTAAACTTTTATTTTTAAGATTCGCATTTAAATGTTCAACTTTTGCGACTCATCAACCTCATTCATAGCTCCATTTAGTCTTGCAAGTCTCACTATAACAGGTTGACTAATGGCAACCAAGTTACCCAAGAATCAAAGTGACACAAACAAAAGTTTGATACAATTACATTCATTTATATCATGTCATGTCTTTACTGGAATCAATCATTTATCAATGACATTAGATAGCCACATGAGTCTTTAGACTCTTCCATGTAAACAGTTGATGAAAGTTTATATTCATTTCAGAATAACCTTAAAGAGAATCATTTAATTGCTTTCAAATCTCTTTGTTGATTGAATTTCTATTGGTCTATGTTAAGCTGTTGCCAGCTACTTTGGGTTGAGTGTTAAGCTGACTCAGAGAACGGGCTTATCTAGGATGTTACCAAAGAGCTTAAAATTGGATTACAATAAATGATATTTTGTTTGTTCCTAATCAGTTCAGCTCTGGTTGACATGTCAACATGATCGTCAAAAACAACATAATTTTCATCTTCACAGTTGTCAAAACTATGTTTACCTTCATCTCCCTGACCAAAACTACCTTTACCTTGATTATCATCAAATGCCGAGAGAAGCTTTTGCTTCACCTTTTCATCCGTCAACAACCTTGAAACGCAAAGAAACGATTAAAGAGAAACCGCACTAATTAAAGGATTCCCTTAATGACCCATTCTTATTGACCTTTGAATCTCTCATAACGATCATAACCAATCGAATCATTTAACCTCAAAATACTTTCTTATTCAAATGAATATCTAGTTAACATCTCATTCAAACTACTCAGTTCAGTCTCTTAGATGATCTCTCAAGATGTCAGAAGATTCTGAGTTGTTACAACAGTAAACAGGAAACATGGTGAATGGCAAAGGTGAAAGTAAAAAACTTATCATTTCTCGAAACAAACAGTTAAAGTAATGAGTGAGTCAAAAGTTGCGCAAAACTACAAATTACGATTACTACGTGATTTTGGGCTTCTGGACCTGGATAGCTAAACCTGTATTTTAACATCGATGAATAACTTTTAATATACATTTTTGACCGAAAAGAAGCTCTTTGAGAAAGCAGCTCTTTAACACGATAAACCCATCTGAATGAGATCGCATTGTGACATGAAATTGAATAGACAGCTTTCCTAACATCTTAGGTCCAAGAAAGCTACATTTATAAATATCGATCTTCACCTTTTGTTCATTCAAACTGAACCAAAGATTTGCATATCTAACAACCCGTATTTCCAGTCCTGTACAAGTTTCAATGGGAAAAAATCTTTCATAAGAAGTACTATTTTTAAGAAAAAATAAGCAAAAATAACTTTAAGTGATTCAATGTTTAGGGCCAATTTTTACTCATCATGGCAACATGATAAATATCTTTTGTTCATTA